AATATGAGATGCATTTTCCAGAGTATAGTGAACATAAATCTCTTGTGATTTCCACAAAATATAATTTTAACTGGAAAATATTACAGATGTGCTTGTTTTTATCTAAATGCAGGTGATAAGATTGCCCAACAATTTCAGAAGTTCCTCTTCAGTGAGGCCAGAGGAGAGGAATTCATGGCCTTCAGTGCATTGGATGGAAAATTGCGAGTTGACAGCTTCCTGCATAAGGCCATGAATGGATATGCAGAACTTTGGAGCTTTGTGGAAAAGCTGCTGCTTCTGTCCCATGGACAAGCTACTGTGGAGTGTGGGTTCTGCATAAACAAGGAGGTGGCGATGTGCAATATGAACGAAGACACTATAGTCTCACTAATCTGCAACTATGTGAGGATGTGTGTGTAACTAAAGAGTTGCTAAATAAGTGTGCATCTGCACACAACTGGTACAGGATCTTCTTGGAAGATGAGAGGAAGAAAAAGGAAAAGACAAAACAGATGAACAAGAGAAAAGGGGTTGAAGATGAGCTTGAAGAGAAGAGAAAAGAAGAACAATCTCAACTGTGTGAAACTCTAGAAAAGGATGCAGATGGCTTTGCAGAGAAGGCTGAGAATACAGCAGGGACCAAGATGGCAGAACTTATCACTAAATCCAATTCCATGAGAAAAAGATGCAAGGAAAAGAGAGGGGAGTTGGTGGACCTAGACCGTGAAATTGAGAAGAGAGGGGCAGAGCTACGCCACATGTCTTGAGGAGAATTTGGGATGTTAGATGGATGGATGATGGAGTCCCCTTTAAGTGTTAATGTTTTCATTATTCTATATGGTTCCTTCATGCAATGCATTGTGTTGTTTAGTGTAATCCAATTTATGTATGTTATGTTGGCTCTGTTCTGCATCACAAAGTAACAAAATGAAAAAAATGAAAATGCCAACTGTGAGCTTTGATTGTGTTTACATCTATATTGGCCAAAACAGTGTTGGAAGTGTTATTGTTAGTTATTATACTGTCTCCTAATTTGAAAAAAGGTCTCATGAAAAAGTATTTTTGCAGAGTTTACACATTGC